GTACAATGCATTACAGTACAGTACAGTACAATACAGTACAGGTACAGTACATTACAGTGAATACAGTACACACAGTACAGTACAGTACAGTGCAATACAGTACAATACAGTACAGTACAGAACAGTACAATGCATTTACAGTACAGTACAGTACAATGCAGTACAGTACAGTTACAGTACAGCACAGTACGTACAGTACAGTACAGTACAGTGCAGTACAGTGCCGTACAGTACAATACAGCACCAGTGATAGTACAGTGCAATTACAGAACAATAGAGGTACAGCCAGTACAGTACAATACAATACAGTACAATACAGTGCAGTACAGTGGTACAATACAGTGCAGCACAGTACAGTACATGCAGTGCAGCACAGTACAGTGTAGCAAGTACAGTACAATACAGTACAATACAATGCAGTACAGTACAGTGCAGTGCAAAACATTGCAGTACAGCACAGTACAATGCAGTTTACAATAATTGCCATACAGTACAGTACAATAGTACAGTACAAGTACAGCATAGTTACAGTGCAGTACAGTAAGAGTACTGCAGTACAGTACAGTACAACATATTACGTACAGTACAGTATAGTACAGTACAATACAATACAGTACCATTCAGAACAGTACAGTCAGTACAGTACAGTACAGTACAATACAGTATTGTACAATACAGCATAGTACAGTGCAGTAGTACAGTATAGAGTGCAGTACGGTACAAATCAGTACAGTGCAATTATATAGAACAATACAGTACATTACAGTAAGTATAATACAGTACAGTACAATATGCCATTCAAAACAGTACAGTACAGTACAATACAGTACAGTACAGTACAGTACAATACCATTATGAGTATAGTACAGTGCAGCAGTACAGTACAGTGATGCAGTACAGTACAGTGCAGTGCAGTATAGTACAGCACAGTACCAGTACAATACAGTGTACAGTACTGTACAGTGCAATAATAAAGCACAGTACAGTGCAATACAGTACAGTGCGCAATTGTGCAGTACAGTGCAGTGCAAAGTACAGGTACAGTGCAATATGTTACTGCAGTACAGTGAGTACAGTACAGTGACAATACTATGCTGAGAGAACAGTACAGTACAGTACAGTACCAGAACAATAAAGAGTACAGTAAAGTACCAGAACATACAGTACAGTGTACAATACAGTGCAGTACAATTACAGTGCAGTGCAGTGCAGTGCAGTACAGGTACAGTACAGTACAGTACAGTGCAATACAGTACAGTACAGTACGACAAGTACAGTCCAGTACAGAACAGTACAGTGCAGTGCAGTACCAGGACAGTACATTGCAGTACTGATACAGTACGAACAAGTACAGTACAGTGCGATACAGTACAGTACAGTACAATACCAGTACAGTACAGTACATGTCAGTACAATTACAGTACAGTACAGTACCCCAGTGCAATACAGTACAATACAGTACAGTACAGAACAGTGCAGTGCATTACAATTGCAATTACAATTACAATACAGTATAGTACAGTACAGTACAGCACAACCTGAAACAGTACAGCACAGTACAGTGCAGTACAGTGCAGTACAGTACAATACAGTACAGTACAGTACAGTGCAATGCAGTACAGTACAGTACAGTGCAGTACAGTACAGTACAGATACAGTGCAGTACAGTACAGTGCATTACAGGCTGGTACAGTACACAATACAGTACAGTAGTACAGTGCAACACAGTACAATTGGTACATTAATACAGTACAAGTACGGAGTACAGTACATAACAGTACAGTACAATTGCAGAACGAGTACAATAAGTACAGTACAGTACAATACAGTTTATTTCAGTACAGTACAGAACAATGCAATACAGTACAGTACAGTGCTATAATGTGTACAGTATATACACTGCCTATACTACATTACATACTCTATTCTGTATTGCAGTACTATACTGTACTGTACAGTACAGTGCAGTACAGTACAGTGTAGTACAGTACAATGCAGTGCAGTATAGTGTAGTACAGTACAGTGCAGTACAGTACAGTGCAGTACAGCGCAGTGCAGTACAGCGCAGTGCAGTGCAGTACAGTACAATACAGTACAGTACAGTGCAGTACAATACAGTGCAGATATCTAGACGGTCCGTCCCTCGTAACGAACTTCAAGAGTGAAGTGTTTCCCCATCTGGAGTAGTCACCCCGTCTGGTCCCCGAGATATGACTGTCAGTTGGTTGAAAATGTTCAAAGGAGGGCCACCAGACTGGTGCCTGCACTTCGGCACCTCAGCTACCCTGAGAGATTGGAGTGCCTGAACTTACCTAGCTTATACTACAGATGGGCAAGGGGGGACCTAGTTGAGGTGTATAAGCATCTCAGGGGGCACTACTCAGTCGAGTGTCCTTACTTGAAGCTGGTGGACACTCGCCCCACAAGGGGTCACAGCTCAAGAATGAAGAAGCCGGAAGTCCAGAAAACTGTGAGGGCAAACTTTTTCGGAGTGAGGGTTGTAAACTCTTGGAACAATCTTCCAGAGAGTGTTGTGACGGCACCGAGTGTGAGCTTTTTCAGGACAAAACTTGACCAACACTCAAGCGACGAGCGGGTTCAGGTACATTCAGGAGCCGGTGCATGCCCAGTACTTGCCAACAGTGCGTGACAGAGACGTGACCAATCGCCCGGGCGGCCAGCGAGCCGATCTTTTGGTGAAGAGGATAAATGAAAAGGCAAAGTAATCAGAGACGTGACCGATCGCCCAAGCGGCTAACGAGCCGATCAGTGGTGAAGAGGGTAAAAGTAAAATACAAAATATAATAAAGTGGGCCATACAGTAGATATATCCACAACTTGTTCCTTCTTTTCAAAATGCCTTAACACATCTATTGTCACACTCTTTGCTACCAGTGATTCGTGGGCTAGTCAGTTGGTCATTTCCCTGTTAGGCAATGTTGACAAATACTGGACATGTACAGACTCTTGGACAGTACCTGACCATGAACCAGAGTTGGTCAAGTCTGGTTTTAAATGAGCTCACACTTGGTGCCCTCACAACACTCTTTGGCATGTTATTACAAGTGTTAACAACTCTTACTCCAAAGAAATTAACCCTTTCAATACTGTGCAGTACTGTAGTGCACTTGTGTGTTCTTTAACCTAAGGCTGTGACCTCTAGTGTACAGATCATTAAATATATTTTAATGTTTCATATCTCTGAGAAGCAATAAATATTTCTAAAAATATGTTTTTTAAGTTTTAATGTGAGCTGAAAACAATTGATCAGCTGCCAAAACCCCTAGTTTCCCACAGCTGGGTCAGCCAAGAGTCACAACACCTCCAGATCTCTGTCTCTATCACTCATCTTGGGTCTTAACCACTGTAGTCCTGGAAGTAGTTGTTTAAACTCAAGGTGAATTATAATTTGTTGAAATTGTTTTGAAATGATGGAATTAGTGTTGAAGTGAGATTAAGAGGCTTCTTCAGGGAATTTGGGGGCTACAGTCCCATGCCCTATACAGTACTTCCCTTTGAAATACATCGAGTGATAAATTGGCAACTGCTTCTTCACGGTAATTCTTGGTTCCATTCTGGCAATATACCGAAGGTCTACTGTAAACATTGATTTTTTTCCACTCTATTTCAAGTATCTGGGCACAGACATAAGCCATACAATGATGTCATATGTTAGCAGTAGTAAGGTAATAATTCATTGTCAAATATATCACATTTGGCAGCCTAGAAAAGTGAAACCCATGCATCCGGTACACACAACCACATCATATGTGCCAGTAAATCCATGGCTACATGGGAAGACACAATTATGACGGCCAGTAGTTATATAGAGGAATATGACGATGATAAAGCTTAGACTACTGTACTGTATAAAGAACCCTGGAAGGAGATGTGGTGGACCAAGGAAACACACTGTGATCAAACTACAGCTGCTAACCAAGATATATCTTTGACCTGTTTTATGGTTTGTAATATAAAACTTAATTCTTTTATAGGACCAATTTAATTTTCTATGCTCCCCCCCCCCCCTCCCAAACCTCGGGCCGGGGGACACAGGGATGCACGAATTGACCGAGCTAAAGGCAAAGGGAGAGCCTGAGCCACATACTAAAATATGTTGTTCCACACTTAACCAAGTGATGCTACATACTGAAGACATCTTAAAAGCTTCAATAAAGTATGTAAACACCTCATACGCCAGACAGTGTTGACCAGAGACCATTCTGTGGCTCTGTTGACCAGAGACAATTCTGTGGCTCTGTTGACCAGAGACCATTCTGTGGCTTTGTTGACCAGAGACCATTCTGTGGCTCTGTTGACCAGAGACCATTCTGTGGCTCTGTTGACCAGAGACCATTCTGTGGCTCTGTTGACCAGAGACCATTCTGTGGCTTTGTTGACCAGAGACCATTCTGTGGCTCTGTTGACCAGAGACCATTCTGTGGCTCTGTTGACCAGAGACCATTCTGTGGCTCTGTTGACCAGAGACCATTCTGTGGCTCTGTTGACCAGAGACCATTCTGTGGCTCTGATCTTTGATAATAGCATTTTGTCTTGTGATGTCACCTATCCTTGTTGAGTTAATATTTGTACTGACACAAGATTATGCTGTCAACAAAGTTTTAAACACATTTTACCTTGAGCTTAACACCCGCACTACACCATAACACCCACACTACACCATAACACCCGCACTACACCATAACACCCGCACTACACCATTTTCAACCACCCACCGCACTACACCATAACACCCGCACTACACCATAACACCCGCACTACACCATAACACCCGCACTACACCATAACACCCGCACTACACCATAACACCCACACTAAGAGTGTAACACAAGTTATGTTGAAACTTTGGGGATGACATATGGAAGGACTGTATATGTCCCTCTAGCACGGGAATAAAAATTGTAAAATGTTGTCAAAAAACCATTTCATAATTGTGCTACTTGAAGGTCATTACACAACTCAGGCAGAAGTCGTCTTACCTTTAGCTTCAGCTCCCCATTAATAAAGTCTGACTGAGATAACTGGAATTTCAAGCCGAGCCTCGACACGATGAGTCCATCACTAAGTTTTTCCGTTTCATAATTCTGCAAATATTCGCCCTTGGCCTGAAACAATGAGAGAGTATAGTGGGCCTGATGATGTTTAAACATAAGGTAATGTTCATAATGCTTACATCATCTACTGATTGACAACTATCTTAATGTAAACCAATACAAAGTACCCATATATATATATATATATATATATATATATATATATATATATATATATATATATATATATATATATATATATATATATATATATATATATATATATATATATATATATATATATATATATATATATATATATATATATATATATATATATATATATATATATATATATATATATATATATATATATATATATATATATATATATATATATATATATATATATATATATATATATATATATATATATATATATATATATAGAATAACAGCAAATTTCAAAGACAAGATGATTTCGGCCATTAATCCATTCATGTACAGTACTGTACAATAACAAAAAGTATGTAGATCTTATGGGTCGATGGATTGGAAAAAGAGTACAGTACAGTACAGTACAGTACAGTACAGTAAAGTACAGTAATTAGTTGAGACTAGTTGGTTTCTCTGACTGGTTGGCAAAGTAAATCTGACTACAGAAAATCCTTCTTTGTACAATGTTCTCTGCAAGTTGTATCACAAATAATAATTTGAGTGATAATGAGCAGACATGCGCACTGTATCATTTTACAGATGAATAAACATGGTTGTATTTGTGAGGGTTGCTGTGAGTTTCCATATTGTTTATGGGAAAAAACCACAGCAAGGTCGACTAAAATAAACTGAGGATCTGTGGCATGTTTAAACTTGAGATACAGTAACCTGTTATTAAATCAGTATTTATCTATCACTTAATGACAGTAGCTCACCAACTCCACATCCCCGGGGCTGTACAATTGCTGTTATTCATGTACATCATCAAATCCACACCCCCGGGGCTCTACAACAGCTGTCATTCATGTACATCATCAACTCCACATCCCCGGGGCTCTACAATAGCTGTTATTCGTGTACATCATCAACTCCACATCCCCGGGGCTCTACAACAGCTGTTATTCATGTACATCATCAACTCCACATCCCCGGGGCTCTACAATAGCTGTTATTCGTGTACATCATCAACTCCACATCCCCGGGGCTCTACAACAGCTGTTATTCATGTACATCATCAAATCCACACCCCCGGGGCTCTACAACAGCTGTTATTCATGTACATCATCAACTCCACATCCCCGGGCTCTACAACAGCTGTTATTCGTGTACATCATCAACTCCACATCCCGGGGCTCTACAACAGCTGTTATTCATGTACATCATCAACTCCATCGGGGCTCTACAATCTGTTATTCATGTACATCATCAAATTACCCCGGGGCTCTACAATAGCTGTTATTCGTGTACATCATCAAATCCACTCCCGGGGCTCTACAATAGCTATTATTCATGTACATCATCAACTCCACACGGGGCTCTACAACAGCTGTTATTCATGTACATCATCATCACACCTGGGGCTCTACAATAGCTGTTATTCATGTGCATCACAACTCCACACCCTCAAGGGCTCTGTGTAGTTGTTATTCATGTGCCTCATCAACTCCACACCCCGGGCTCTACAATAGCTGTTATTCATGTACATCATCAACTCCACACCCCGTACATCATCAACTCCACCCGAGGGCTCTACAATAGCTGTTATTCATGTACATGTCAACTCCACACCCCGGGGCTCTACAATAGCTGACTATTCATGTACATCATCAACTCCCACACTCCCGAGAGCTCTACAATAACTGTTATTCATGCATCATCAACTCCATCTGAATACTACAATAGCTGTTATTCATGTACATCATCAACTCCACACCCCCGGGGGCTCTACAGCTGTTATTCATGTACATCAACAACTCCACATAACGAGGGTCTACAATAGCTCTCTTATTCATGTACATCATCAACTCCACATAACGGGGTCTACAATAGCTCTTATTGTACATCATCAACTCCACGGGGCTCTACAATAGCTGTTATTCATGTACATCAACAACTCCCTCCCGGGCTTCTAATAGCTGTTATTCATACATCATCAACTCCACACCCCCGGGGCTCTACAATAGCTGTTATTCATGTACATCATCAACTCCACATAACCGGGGCTCTACAATAGCTGTTATTCATGTACATCATCAACTCCACATCCCCGGGGCTCTACAATAGCTGTTATTCATGTACATCATCAACTCCACATCCCCGGGGCTCTACAATAGCTGTTATTCATGTACATCATCAACTCCACATAACCGGGGCTCTACAATAGCTGTTATTCATGTACATCATCAACTCCACATCCCCGGGGCTCTACAATAGCTGTTATTCATATGCATCATTAACCTCTCCACACTCCGGGCTCTACAATAGCTGTTATTCATGTACATCATCAACTTCACATCCCGGGGCTCTACAATAGCTGTTATTCATGGCACATCATCAACTCCACATCCCGGGGCTCTACAATAGCTGTTATTCATACATCATCAGCCCCATCCCAGGGCTCTACAATAGCTGTTATTCATGTACATCATCAACTCCACATAACGAGAATACAATATAGCTGTTATTCATGTACATCATCAACTCCACACCCCCGGGGCTCTACAATAGCTGTTATTCATGTACATCATCAACTCCACATAACCGGGGCTCTACAATAGCTGTTATTCATATGCATCATCAACTCCACATCCCGGGGCTCTACAATAACTGGTATTCATGTGCATCATCAACTCCCACATCCCGGGGCTCTACAATAGCTGTTATTCATGCTTACATCATCAACTCCACATAACCGGGGGCTCTACAATAAGCTGTTATTCATGTACATCATCGCTCCACACCCCATCCTACAATAACTGTTATTCATGTACATCGTGCTCCATCCCGGGGCTCTATGCTGTTATTCATGTAAATAGCTGTTATTCATGTACATCATCAACTCCACATCCCCCGGGCTCTACAATAGCTGTTATTCATGTACATCATTAACTCCACATCCCCGGGGCTCTACAATAGCTGTTATTCATGTACATCATTAACTCCACATCCCCCGCGGCTCTACAATAGTAGTTATTCATGTACATCATCAACCCCACATCCCCTGGGCTCTACAATAGCTGTTATTCATGTACATCATTAACTCCACATCCCCGGGGCTCTACGATAGCTGTTATTCATGTACATCATCAACTCCACATCCCCGGGGCTCTACAATAGCTGTTATTCATGTACATCATCAACTCCACATCCCCCGGGCTCTACAATAGCTGTTATTCATGTACATCATCAACTCCACATCCCCCGGGCTCTACAATAGCTGTTATTCATGTACATCATCAACCCCACATCCCCCGGGGCTCTACAATAGCTGTTATTCATGTACATCATCAACCCCAATATGAATTGACAGAAGTGTTGCCAATTACCCTTTTTAAGCCATGTGTAGTGTATGTACTAACATTCGGTCAAAGATCAGGTATTACTAATGAAACATTATTTTTAACATTGTTTACCTTAACATAACATACAAATGATACATATGGAGTGATGCTAACATTAATAGTACAGTATTTATGTATACAACCAAATTTTTCACAATATTATTTGCATCTCTCTGTAGGCTCACAATATCATGGAAAAGCACACTGCATTGTGCAGCCCTATTGATATTTTCACATAGTATACAACTAGTGTGTGAAGTTATGCTATCACTACCAATATTTATGTTCTGTTATGTGTTACCATCTTGTTGCTATACTGGTTGTATTATGGAAAAGTGCTGTACGGTATAGTGTTGTGGCAGCATTATTGGTTACCAAGTTAATATTCATTAAAATTACAATTGCTTATCAAAATTTCGTAGATATTGGATAGACTGTAATGCAATAGCTAGAAATAAAGAGGAGTTAACAATAATAAAATAAAGACTATTAGCAGCAGGTAGGTACACAAAATGTATGATCAGAAGGTCCTCTTGTGTGGCAGTCTGATGCCAGGTGGGGAGGGAGGGGGCAGGGATGTTTCTCCGGGGCCTGTGACTACTAGAAGGGGCCTGGACTGGGCCCTTTTATATATTATAAATTATCAGAATACCCGTTTTCCTGAAACAAATAGCAAGAAAATGACAAATACAAGTTCCGAAAATCAAGTCAAAGAAATGTTTTTTGTGTTCTTTTGTATTGTATTATTGGAAACATGACAAGGTGATATGAAGCAGTATGAGAGCTGGAGTTAAATTTCAGTGTTTTGTGGAAATATCCTATAATGATATTTTTTTTATGGGAATTAGCCCACCCAGCCAGAGGTCGCTGACCCACAACGGGGCCTAGGGAAGAATCCATTGGATGGCTATGCCCCAGCAGTCTGCCATACAAGAGACCAAAACATGACAATAACCACTGATATACATTTTAAGTCTTCACCACATGTTTCATATTGTCACACACAACAGGAGTTCCTATACAGGATATTTTGCCAATTGTGCAAATGCCTTATACAGTGGAGCCTGCATTTACGTGGTCAATTGAACCCGTGGAGGTCCGTGTAAAACGAGAAACGCGTAAATGAAATAACAGAACATATGGGATTAATTGAAATAGAGACTGGGCCGACCGCCAGACTACACTTTTTGCTGACACAATACATACATTGTAGTAAAAATAACATCTTAATTTTATGATGGTATGCACACATAATTAATAATTAAGAGAAATATCAATAATATTAGGTTTTTTAACACTTACGTTAGTAGAAAAGCTGGGTCGGCACACGTGGATGGCGGCTGGTTCCGAGGCAGAGGGCAGATTAGTTGCCCTCCGGTGAATCACTTTCACTACTCGCAGAGGTTTGCAGGGCCTCCCAGACAAACCTCTCAAAGTCCATATCCTCACTGTCAATATCACTATCACTGACTTGGGCTGGCTGTGGTTGTGGTGGGTTGCAGGCGAGGAAGTCCTCAATACTACGTTGACGACTAGCATTGATGTTGTCGAGATAGATCTAGATATACAGCTCCATAAATTTCGTCAGATGGTTATTAGACACTTCATACCGACGCTTGTCTGGGTCGTTGTCAAGGATGAGCTTAAGTTTCTCCCCCAACTCGATGATTTCCTTCACATTATCATGGCTTGGTCCAGGTAATTCAATGTTTTTCTTTGGTGGTGGGGGTCCAGCGGAACCCATTGTGAGTTGTGAGGGGAATAGCGGGCACAAGTGAGAACTGTATACGCGGACTGAGAACAACGAGACAGGCCCTGCTAGGTCAGCGACTTCTACCCTCTGGTGGCAGGGCACGTCATGTTACATTAGACCAATCACAGCTAGCGGCAGAGGGAATGCATGGGTGGTAAGGATGCATGGCCCAATCACAGTCCGATACGTCATATTACGTCACCGATAACGCAACAGCGACATACTGCGCAACCTTACTCGCGCCGCTTGTGGTTGCCTGGGCCGCTCGTCTCCAAAATGGAGCGGCGCGTCTGGACCCTCCAGCGACTCGCCGCGTAAATGACCAAATTTACCGTATAATTAAAGCATTTCAATTCTGGCAAGGCACCGCGTAAATGACCAAACGCGTTCACCAAAACCGCGTAAATCCAGACTCCACTGTATACCAATGAGATCCATTCCTGAAATTTTCAAAAAAATTTCTCCTTTGCCTCTCCAGGTACAGTTTAGCTTTTTGAAATGTTTTAAATTGTATAAAAAGAAAAATACTTCAGCCATTATGGTAAGCCCTTCACCTGCATACTTTGAGCCTTCATCCTTGAATAGTTTTGATAGATAGATTTTTGCTCCTACTGTTTCCTGAACTAATAATACAATAACTGATCACCATAACTCACTTGACTCTTTGTCTAAAACATTGAAGCCATTACTAACCAGCTGGTCATTGATGTACCAAACAAGTGTAGCTGCAGGGATTGATGGAGCTGCGGTACAGTTAAGGTTGACTGTATCCCCCACAGCGTAGTGACCAGCAACGTCTCCCTCAATATTAGGCTGCTCGTCAGGCAACACTAAGGAAAAAAAATAAAAATTATAATGGATATATTTCAAGAGATGGGGGGCGACCTAATTGAGGTGTACTGTATCAACATCTCGGGGGGGCACTACTCAGTTGAATGTACATACCTGGAGCTGGTAGACGCTCACCCCACAAGGGGTCACAGCTCAAGGTTGAAGAAGCCAAAAGTCCAGAAAACTGTGAGGGCAAACTTTTTCTGAGTGAGAGCTGTAAACTTTTGGAACAATCTACCAGAGAGTGTTGTTACGGCACCGAGTGTGAGCTCTTTCAAGACCAGACTTGACCAACACTGGAGTAGGTTCAGATACATTCAGGAGCCGGTGCATGCCCAGTACTTGTCAACAGTGCGGAACAGAGACGTAACCGATCGTCCAAGTGGCTAACGAGCCGATCATGGTGAAGAGGATAAAAGAGAAAGAGAAAAAGAGAACCCAGAAGGTCAAATAACTTAATGTTTCTCTCTTGGTTGGTCATAGTTGTCTTGTAGGTATCAATCTATAATCATTCCCAGCCATGCCTCCCACCAGACCAGTTGTTTGCTCCACACACAACTTTACAGATAAAGTACATCGTCTCTGACTCTTTCCAACTACGGTACAGTTATTGAATGTTTTTGGCTGAGTCACTCACACGGCCTAATCAAGGCATATGCCAGTAGGCTAGATTTACCGTGAGTGCAGAATATTCATGAAAATCCTTTATGAAAATATTTTTCTTTTATGACTTATGTAAGTTAGAAAGCATAATTTATAAGCATAAGTACAGTCATGCGCCGGTTAACGTTCAACCGAACAACGTTCGATCGCATATACATCAGTGGCCCCCCCAAAAAAAGAAAAAGAAAAAAACACTTCCGTGACGCCTGCTGGACCACCACTCCACGACCCCCTGAAGGAGACACAATGATCCTTCCCATACTGGCCAGATATTATGTGTTAAAGGAATATCCTTCCTTAGGCTTTAGTAAGCATTTGCCTCCAGGTGCAATATTAACCTACATCTATCGAGGATAAAATCTTTCACCTACAAACTGACAATAACACATTTGCTGTAATCAGACATATCTTATTGCCTCAACAATTGGGGTTGCAATTTCAAATTCTGTGTCATTACTAAAGAATAACAAAGTCTCTGGTGCACTCTAAGATTAAGAGAGAAAACGGAGGACTAAGGCGTCCTGAAGCGAGAGAAAACGGACTCCTATGATGGGGGACACAAGCACTCACACGTGCCACTCATACTGACAGACCTGATAAGTTTTACCAACCATTAGTTGTGTACGTTATCTGGTGAATTTAGTCAATATTGTACAGTACAAGTACACTGCAATACAGTGGTCCCTCGGTTAACAATGGACCTAAGTGCAAACCTGTACTGTACATGTACTAAATGATTACGGTACTAAAATTGTTATGTCTATTGCAAATATAGATTGTTTATACAGGTATTCAAATAAATCACTATCTTACAAGAATCCCAGCAGTGTAAGTTATATTCACCCAGGTTGTTTGGGTGGCAAATTATGAGAAGAGCTTAGTCACTCTTAAGGAATGATAAATAAACACACAGACCTTCAGCGCCAACTGTCAAATCATATCGCCTCACCTCCCCCCCCCAAGCGAGGGAGCGTGGGGGGTTTTAGGCCTTAAGTTTTTCATATAATATCTCAGACTATAGGAGAATATAATTTGCATTGCTGAAATCCTTGTAAGACAAAGATTAATTTGAATACGGGTATAAACATCATATATTTTGCTCGAGATAAAAATTGTAGTACATGTACATTAGTGTACGTACATTTTATAATATAAAGTTTTTCAACTGTATTTTTGGGTAGATTTACATAAATTTCTTCATTTATTTTCATCCATTTACATGCACACACCATACTAAAAGAAACATAAAAGAAATACATGACCTTAGTGCAAAGCTGGAGTGTAAAAGTACTAAATTAATTACGGTAATAAAATTGTTATGTCTATTGCAAATTATAGCTTGTATATATTCAAAGTAATCACTATCTTACAAGAATCCCAGCAATGTAAATTATATTCACCCAGGTCATTTCACTGGCTTTTTATAAGAGAGAAGCTTAGTCACTTAAGAACTGATAAATAAACAGGCGTTAGACCTGGGCCTGTGCCAACTGTCTAACGTACTACCTCACATCCCCCCCCCCCCTCTCCCCCTCGCTTGCTCCCTCCCTCTCCCCCCATCTGCCCAGTGTTGCTGGAATCCTCATAAAACAGTAAATAATTTTAATATAAACGTCATGTACTGTATTTTGCACAAGAGATAAAAATTAATCACCTGTACCATATTACAGTAGTGCTTTAAGAGTAAAAGTGTATATGTACGTATATAGTATTCCACATACACGTAAGTATAAATACAAAGTTTATGTGATGATCGGACAACGTCCATTTCGGTTAACGTCACGTTTCCAAGAATGTATCTAGGACGTTAACCGGCACATGACTGTATTATGAGTTAAAATAAATATTTATGCTGTATAAGTATTTATTTTTCCTTTTAATTCTTTTATAAAAAATATCTAAAGCAAAAACTACTTGTACTGTGCTTATCTGAACGACCTTCTTCTAAGACCTAATAGTTTAGTTGCTTAATTCACCTTCTCACAATCATCCGAAAGCTTCACTTTTTTGTCAACATACACACCCAAGTGCTTTTCACATTTGGTCTCTATTAAAGCAGTTTCTTCGTCCTATTTGGACTTGTGATACGCCTCCTTACTGTTGGTACCACCCTGATGCAGCCTCTTACACTTCATGACATTGAATCTTGGCAGCCATTTCCTTGACCATTCTGAAGCTCACAGAGATCCTTCTGCAGCTCTTCACAGTCTGCTTGGTTTTTAATTTCCCTAAATAACTTGGCGTCATATTCAAACACTTGTATATGAAGGAGTGTAGAGCTACTGGCATGTCATTTATGAAGCAAACAAACAACGAGCCTTGTGGTACTCTTCTTGAGACAGGTACGGATGATGATTTCGTGCCATTAATCACCACACACTGCTTGTGGTCATGGAGAAAGTCCCCATTCCACGTTAGGACATTTCCCTAAATCCCGTACCCTTCCAGTTTAATTTTCAGCCTTTCATACGGTACGCTGTCGAAAGTCTTGGCAAAATTTAGGTATATACTGTCGATATTACCGCCCTGTTCCAGAATTTGGGTCCAAACATTCAGTACCTTGAGTTGCAGTGAATTGAATTGAATTGAAACCGTTTATTTAGCCATAAAAACACAGATACAGAGTGAATAATAATAACAATATTAACATGGCTGAGCCAGTTGAGAACCTTAGCTCTCTTTTTGGCACCTGATATATACTATAAATTTATCTCAAGGAAGTATTTTGTAACATTTAGTATCATCTGGAATAGTACAATAGCATGGTGGTAATAGGAACATCTCTTACTGTTACCACGGTTATCACTTCAATATTGATTTATTCTATTTATTTTTTTTTTTTTTTTAGTTAATATTTTATTTATACAGGTATTATAAGTATACAGAAATTTCTAAAAATTGCTCTGACAGTTTTCTGAACTTGTGACTTCTCTAACCTTAAGCTGTAGCCCTTTGTGAGGTGGGCATCTGCCAGCTTCAGATATGAACATGACTTGGTAATGTCCTCTGAGGTGCCTCTATTAAATCATCCCTTGCCTACATACACTATAGCATTAGTTAGGCAACTGTTGGTGTTCTATCTCTCTAGGTACCTGAAGGGCCAGAGAGCAAGTACCAGTTTATAGGCCACTTGTCTATGACTTGTAGGTCTTAAAGTTTTTTAAATACTACAGTTATGTCGACGTTTGGTCTTTCTTTTTTTTTTAAGTGATATATACTCACTTGTGGTCACTCAGCAATTTGTCTTGAAGAAATGCCACCAGCCCTCTCACCAAGTGATGCCTTACACTAAACATCTCCAGTACTTACTCCCTATGAAGGCCCACCAGCAACACTAAAGCATATTGATCCAGTAATGTATAGTTTTGTATGATTTAAAACAGTCCACACACCATGCACATTTTAAGGTGGCCAAAAAATTATATTTAAGAAATAATTTTCACTACAAGTACAGTAATTGTGAAAAACATTTTATATTTACTTTAGAATCTGCATCTGTGAGGTTCATAATACAGGAAGATCTAGAGTTACTGCAGCAGTGAAACAACATACAGTGGCCTCATCTGGACATACAGTGAACTCATCTGAACATACACAACATACAGTGACCTCATCTGAACATAGTGACCTCATCTGAACATACACAACATACAGTGACCTCATCTGAACATAGTGACCTCATCTGAACATACAGTGACCTCATCTGAACATACAGTGACCTCATCTGAATATACAGTGACCTCATCTGAACATAGTGACCTCATCTGGACATACAGTGACCTCATCTGGACATACAGTGACCTCATCTGAACATAGTGACCTCATCTGAACAGTGACCTCATCTGAACAGTGACCTCATCTGAACATACACAACATTAACTGCAATACAACCAGTAGCATACCCAGAAATTTCCCAATTGGGGGGGGGGGACTGCGAGCTGAACATTGTTGAAATAAGAGAGAATTAATATTCTTCTGTACGTTCATGATGAGCTTACTGTTGAGTGAAGACAATACAGGAGAGAACAACAAAAGCAAGACAAGTACTCACCAACAACTGTCATAGTGGCCTCAGCGGAATCACTGAGGAAGTCTGGATATTCTGCCATAACTTCACACTTATATACACCGGAGGCACCCAGGTCTACCTCTTGCAGCACTATCTGATTCTCTGTTGATTCTTCCATCTGTATATGCAACAAAATCTATTAATATTTTGGCCAAGATACAAGTGCTCAGGCAGTCACTGACTTATGACAGGGACACGTTCATAAGTCATAACAGTTAATTCCATAGTTTAGGACGATAATATCTCATACATAACAAATAATGTAAACACTGTAATTAAAGTGATGTTAAACAATATAGAAAGTAATGTAAAAAATGGGATATTAATTTAAAAAAAATTGGAATGAATGTACAGTATTAGGATCCCGTTCATAAGTGTGGGTGATTGTTGGTCGGACGGTGGTATCTCAGGGACTGTCTGTATATTTAACACACAGGAAGAACACAAGAAATTTTTATTATTAACCACAGAGTATTTTAGAAACATTTAACATGTACAGTACAGTAGCATTTATAATTCTACCAGCATATGGTTAAATATGGCGTAATAATTATAATAAATATGTTCATGGGTTCACACTGCATTCAACACTAATAATAAGTAGTAAAGGAATTTGATGGCAACATTTTTATTCAGAAACTGAGAAGGGGTTTGGTCCCAAGCATTCCAGGATCTCAAACATTAATACAAATAATAATAACAATGATACTACTACTACTACTACTACTACTACTACTACTACTACTACTACTACTACTAATAATAATAATAATAATAATAATAATAATAATAATAATAATAATAATAATAATAAGAGTGTGAGATGTTTGAATCATAGACCACGTTCTTTGTAGACTTTATTCTTACAGCGTCAGCTGGTGACTGGCAACCAGGCGCTGCCACAGACAAGCTCCCACCTCAACACATGGGAAAACATATCAGTACAATAGTACTCCATTTCACAACCTTACATCTCCCCCCCAAGTTAAAAGGAAATGACAATGCACATTTGAACTAACAAAAGGAAAACAATGCATTAATATAAACAACAATAATGCAAGAAAAACCAGTCAAACAAAGAAAAACAAAACAACAATAAAAAAAACCTCTAAACTAATTTTACATCACATACACCACACCACGTAGTCTGTCAACCAGCCCAGGGCCTGAGGCCTCTCCCGGGCCTGGCCACACCCGACTGGGGAGGGGTCGGGGGTGCGAGCTAGGGGGTGGGTACGGAGGGCACCACAGATGGGGGCCAGGAGGCATAGCTTGGTGCACCACCGGAGTAGTAGGCACAGGCGTGGCGCCGCTTCGCAGGTGGCGTCTGTTACGGATGGACACCCTGCCACTGCCAATCAACCTGACGGCAAACTGCCTGTGAGGGCGGGCTTCCACCACTATGCCTGTCCTGTCCCAGAGCATGGTAGCTGCGTCCTGCACACGCACCTGCGTGCCCACGGCTAGGGGAGCCAGCTGGCGGGACACTTCCCCCCCGACAGAAGGACCCCGTCCTGGGTTTCGGCCAAGCGCACCTCCCTCATACGAAGTGCCCGCCACCAGTGCTTGTCCACCTTATTGTGCTGTCTGACCCCGGGAACTCCGTCATGGAGCTGGCGGCCGGTTGCAAGTTGGGCGGGCGACTTGTTCACCCCCCACAGAGACGTGTTCAGGTACTGGAGGAGGACCTGGGATGTCCTATCACAGTCCAGGCTACCCCCGGGCCCAGTGTTGTCCCTGAGGAGCCTCTTGGCGTCCTTGACCCCAGCCTCTGCCCTGCCATTGGACAGGGGGAAGTGGGCCGACGAGAGACGCACCTCGACCCCCCCCCCCATGACTTGAGGAAGTCTGTCATCTCAAGGCTGGCAAGGTTGGTACCTCCATCCGTGGAGATCTGCTCAGGTGCCCCCCACTTCGTGAAGTAACCCTGCAGACGGGCGATGATCTTTCCAGAGGTGGCCTCGTTGGGGAAGTGGGCGATCTCCAGCCAACCTGTGAATCGGTCAGCATATGCTAGGTACGTGTGGCCCTGTAGGTGGAACAAATCGGCCACCACTTGTTGAAAGGGATAGTCTGGCGCTGGGGTTAAAACCAACGACTCCGGAGGCTGGGAAGGGGCGTGAGTCTCGCAAGCAACACATCGGGACCGATGATGCTGCCGGTCACCCTCCATGCCAGGCCAATAGACAGACTGCCGGGCCCGCCTGAGCATTGAGTAGAGGCCCTGGTGCCCCACGTGCAGATTAACGGCGACCCGGTGGCGGAGGGAGTCGGAGATGACGAGGCGCACGCAGCCCTGGTCAAAGGTGTAGGTGACCAAACCCCTGACCACAGCCAACCTGTCCCTCACCGAGAAGTACGGGAGCAGACAGGCCACCTCCTGTGACTTGTTGGGGTGCCAGTCGCCCGCCAGCACCCTCGACACTACAATCTGGTAAACTGGGTCGTCCGCAGCCGCTTTGCACACTGTGTCTTCGTCCATAGTGATGCACCCATCCTGATCCAGTGCTGCGATTGTGACTGCACACACTGCAGCGCATAGGTCCTCCTCTTGGTCCATAAACCGAAATGGGCAGGCACTGCCCTGAGGGAGGGAAGCGGGTTACGGCCAGGGCTGTGGAGTCAAGACAAACCTTCGACCACCCGACTCAAATTCTTATACCCGAATTCGACCAATTCTTGGCCTATTTTAACTATTTCTACCATCCTAATTGTAATTTGTATGTTGTAACTCGTATAAAAGTAAAACATCGCAATACTGCTACAGCTTTATTAATGATCTGGACGATATTAAGAACTACAAAAGACGATAGGCTTGACTTTCAAAGTTTCAATCAAAAGAAAAAATAAATTTATTAAGAATTCAAGATATTAACTAGAAAACACCATTTACATGTATATCTAAAAAGTTCGATCTCAGTATGAATTTGTTTGCTTCATAATCTGATGTGATCTAAATGATGATCCTACAATTCCTTTTTTAAAGTAAAGTTATATATTTATGTGCATTAAAGAAATGAATACCTTATTAAGGAAATGATAAACCTTGGCATGATTAAGTTATTAAATTAAATTTGCCTTAATCTCACCAAAACAAGGTTGTAGCTAATTGTTTGTAGCTGAGAGCCTCTGTAGTTTTCAACGAAACAAAATTTGATATAATTCAAAATTTCAAATGGTAAAGAAGAGGACTATCGTCCAAAATTATATGCTATACTGTACCTGCTACAATAACCATAATAATGTTTTAAAATGGAAATAAATTCTTTAATAATTTAAGAAAAATTTAGGGATCAGAATCAATGCAATGAATATGCCTGAGTTCATATATTTGTTCTAGGAACAGAATAGCTTCAGTTTCGAGCTCTGTCGGTGTCTGACAATTTTATCGACCACTCCACAAGCCGAAATTCCTCCCGACTCGATCTGACTCCAACCCACAGCCCTGGTTACGGCATCGACTGCATAGTTCCGCTTCCCTGGCAAGTACTTGACCGTGAACCGGTACTGCAGGGTCTTCTCCTTGAGCCGGAACAGGCTCGGATTCGCCACATCCGTGAGGGCTGTGTCCCCTAGCAAGTCAACTAATGGGCGGTGGTCCGTCACCAGAATGAGGTTCGGGCAGCCGAGGAGGAACAGCCTGGCCTTGCGCAGGCACCATACCACACCCAGGGCCTCCCCTTCTACTGCAGTGTAGCCGGCCTCGGCCGTGCTCAGATGTCTGCTACCACACAGAGCCAACCGCCACCCCTGCAGCAGAAGGACATCTCTGGAGAGGCCCAGGCACAGTATTGTTGCAGGACGACAAAGTCGATGCTCCTCCCTGCTCCAATCTGTGACAGCTGCCGTAGGCCTGGATTTGTCGTAGTACACCAAGCCGTCCCTGGCCAACTGACAGATGGTGTCCTGGGCCAGGCGAAACTTGAGCCGCAGCTGGTCGTCCCAATGCACCCGCTTGCCCACTGGCTTCTTGAGGAGCTCACGGAAGGGCTCCATCACAGGTGCAATGGCAAGGAAGGGAGCCAACTAGGCCATGCCAGGACCTGATGTCAGTGATTTATGGCTGATCAAGCATGGGGAAGTCCTTGATGGCTGACAGACGTTGGGCAGTGGGCTGGTAGAGGTCCCACCCCAGGAGGAAGCCCACAAACTCTCCTGCAGAACAAGAACTTTTCTGGTTTCAGTGTGATACCTGTGCTAGCTCAGGTCACCAGAAAATCGTAGGTGTGCCAGAATGCCCCCTTCACACTGGAGTCATAGAGGAGAGTGTCATCCACGCACTTGTACTTGCGGGGCACATCCTGAATAGCGTCGTCAAACCTCTTGGTGTAGGCATCTGACGCTGAACAATGTTCCATGGGCGGCCTGCAGTATGGAAAATGGCCCCACGGCGTGATGAATGTGGTCAGGCGTCTACTCTCCTCCTCCAACTCCACTTGATGAAATCCCCAAAAGGCGTTGGCGACGGTTTTGAACGAGTGCGCTGGCACCCTATGTCGAATGGTGCAGGTGTGTGGTGCGTCTCCCTCAAGCAGCTTGCATTGAGGCGTTGGAAGTCTACAGTGCACCTGGGCTGACCGTTTATCTTGGCCACCACGACCATCCTGGCGCACCACTCAGTAGCCTCACCAGCAGGCACTGGCTGGATGACGCCTCTCCTGACGTCCTCCTCCAACTGGGCCTTCACCTCCGCTTTTCAGTGTTTCGGAACGGTAGCGGGTGTGTGACAGGCGTAGGGGGTTGTGCCGGGCGTCAGGTGGATACGGTGAGGTGGACCAGTCATGACTGGCAGTGGGGACCTGCTGGTGTTGAATGCGGTCGATGAAAAGTGCGTGAGTAGCCATGCCTCCAGCCTGGCCACATTCTCCTCCAAAGGAGGCAAGGGTATCTCAACTGGCCTCGGCGGGACACGACTGCTCTCAGGTAAAGGGTTCGGAGGTAGGTCGTCGGCAGTGTGCCGCTCCCCTACATCGCCCACGGCAGCCACAGCACGTCTATGGAGTGGGAAGTCGACAGACACCAAGTTGAGGCACTTGCAGGTCTCCAATGACAGGTAGAGGGCCTTGGCTGTCTGCACGAAGTAGACCTCCTGGACGGTGGACCCCTCGCCCACAATGAGATGGCAGGGGGCGGACCCCAGACATTTGAGCTGTTTGTTCACCATGTCCCTCAGGCCATTACGGGCCCGAAGTTGCCCCGGACACAAACCGATGTCCTGGAGCAGGGATGCCCCTGCCACACACACCATAGAACCCGTGTCAGCCACAGTGGCAGGATAGATGGGCTGTTGCCACTGTGACAGCACCTGACACATCCACAGAAGCACTTTGGACTGACTTTCTCCTACAACACCTTTTGAAGTGACCAACCTTAGAGCAATTGCAACATGTGGCCCCACTTGCAGGGCAGTTACTTTTACCAGAGGCATGTGTCATGCCGCAGTTCCCACAGTGTGCGCGACTGGGTTGCCCAGGTCTGGCGGCAGCTACCTCAGACTCACCGGTGACGTCATCACCAACCGCCGCTGCCTCCGTGGCTGTTCCCACCACTGCCTGGCCAAACGTACGACACAATACACCAGCATCTCTCACTGCTGCCTCAAATAACATACATTTGTTTCTAAGCACTTCAACACTATTATAACTCGAGTACCACTGGAAAATTTCCCTTTTCAACACTGGCTTACTCGGGCCCACCATAACTTTATGTAATAGCATGTACTCAGAGAGGTCGTTATCACAGGTGGGACATTTAAATTCACACTCCAGTGCCTCTGCGAAGCAGCGTTGAAAGTACCTTTTCATGGGCTCCTCTTCACCTTGTTTGCTGTTGAAAAACTCGTTCCATTTCACAGCTTGGTTTGACGATTGAAGAACCATTCCACTGATGGCATCCAGGGCTTCCTTGGGCGAGAGCTGCTCCCACTGGCAGCTGGGATATCTCGAGTCAATCACCCTTTGGAGTGCAGGGACGCAGTTCAGGCGAATGTGGAGTGTGGCCACCAGTTGTGACCACCCGTTCAACAGCACCCACGACTCCATGGACCACCTCCATGTCCTAAACGCCGCTGCTAGCATTTCTGCCTCACACTTCTCTGGAGCGACAGCTGCTGAGGGCTTCACGACCTGCATAGAAGCATGACCACCGCCAGTAGCTAGAGATGCCATCTGAGCCATCAATGCACTCATGGTCTACTGCTCGGCGTGTGTGGTGTTCCCCGCCGGTGTATAGATGCCCTGGCATCCCCTTGAGGGCATCGAGAATCGTGAACGTGTAGGGGCCATGTTGGTGTTCTTGTCAGGGCTGTAATGGCGTGTCGGGCCCCAGCATCCTACTCACTGCGCCATGTGAGATGTTTGAATCATAGACCACGTTCTTTGTAGACTTTATTCTTACAGCGTCAGCTGGTGACTGGCAACTCAGCGCTGCCACAGACAAGCTCCCACCTCAACACATGGGAAAGCGTATCGTACGATGGTACTCCATTTCACAATCTTACAAATAGTAATAATAATACTAATAATAATAGTAATAGTAATAGTAATAATAATAGTAATAATAATAAAGCCTTCTACAATTGCATACTTTAAAATGGATAAGTTCCAGTAAGATTTCTGCCTTAGTTTAAACAGTTTCCCCAATTAAAAGAAATATTACATCTACTGTATACTGTAATTCTCATGAGTGTAATTTGACTACAGAACAGGTACAGTACAATACAGAACTTACAATAACTTTGACGGAGCTGTTGGCTGGATACACTGTCATGGGCGGCTCATTGTTTGGTAGGTAGCTGAGGAATACACGCTAATTAGTACAGTATTAAGAAGTCTATATTGTATCAGAGTTTAAACAGAAAGGTACTGTTGAAGGGGCACCTGTCCTTCTGACGCACGACACCAAGTACATTCTCACTTTTTGGGAGGTGGGGGGCTTTGATAAACACCCTTGTTCCCCATTATAGGTACAGTCCCCTTCACTGGTGTGTTTACAGCAGGCTCATCATATAGCCTAGGTCCAGTCCTCTTCACTAGTGCGTTTACAGGGCTGTCATATAACCTTGATACAGTCCCCTTCACTAGTGCGTTTACAGGGGCTCATCATATAAACATTCAACAAATCATAATCATTGGGATATTTGTTTTAATATTATTTAAATTTGATTCCATATATTTACTATTGCGAGTTTCCTTCTGTCAAATGTAAACATACACAGCGCTGCCATGGTACCTAACGAGCGGCCCTGTAAATGCACTAGCAAAGGGGACTGGACCTAGGCTATATGATGAGCCCCTGTAAATGCACTAGTGAGGGGGACTGTATCAAGGCTATATGATGAGCCCCTGTAAACGCACTAGCGAGGGAGACTGGACCGAGGCTATATGATGAGCCCCTGTAAACGCACTAGTGAAGAGGACTGGACCTTGCAGGGTGAATAGAGACCTCGAACTGTCACAAAGAAGTTTAAATTCTTGGAAGAGGTTGGGAGATAATAGGATCATCCTATACCCACGGCCGTTCATCATATACCCACGGCCGTTCATCATAAACCCACGGCCGTTCATCATATACCCATGCCGTTCATCATATACCCATGGCCGTTCATCTATACCCACGGCCGTTCATCCTATACCCACGCCGTTCATCATATACCCATGGCCGTTCATCATATACCCATGGCCGTTCATCCTAAACCCACGGCCGTTCATCATATACCATGGCTCATCTTACGGCCGTTCATCATATACCCATGGCCGTTCATCCTAAACCCACGGCCGTTCATCATATATCCACGGCGTTCATCATACCCATGGCCGTTCATCTCTAAACCCACGGCCGTTCATCATATACCCACGGCCGTTCATCATATACCATGGCCGTTCATCATATACCCATGGCCGTTCATCCTATACCCAAAGCCGTTCATTCTATACCCACGGCCGTTCATCATATACCCACGGCCGTTCATCCTATACCCACGGCCGTTCATCCTATACCAACGGCCGTTCATCCTATACCCACGGCCGTTCATCATATACCCACGGCCGTTCATCCTTACCCATGGCCGTTCATCCTATACACACGGCCGTTCATCATATACCCACGGCCGTTCATCATATACCCACGGCCGTTCATCTTACCCATGGCCGTTCATCCTATACACACGGCCGTTCATCTATACCCACGGCCGTTCATCATATACCCACGGCTGTTCGTCATATACCCACGGCCGTTCATCCTAAACCCATGGCCGTTCATCATATACCCACGGCCGTTCATCATATACCCACGGCCGTTCATCATATACCCACAGCCGTTCATCCTATACCCATGGCCGTTCATCATATACCCACGGCCGTTCATCCTATACCCACGGCCGTTCATTCTAAACCCACGGCCGTTCATCATACACACGGCCGTTCATATACCCACGGCCGTTCATCCTAAACCCATGGCCGTTCATTCTATACCCACGGCCGTTCATCCTAAACCCATGGCCGTTCATCCATACCTATGGCCGTTCATCCTATACACACGACCGTTCATCCTATACACACGACCGTTCATCCTATACCCACGGCCGTTCATCCTATACCCACGGCCGTTCATCCTAAACCCATGGCCGTTCATCATATACCCACGGCCGTTCATCATATACCCACGGCCGTTCATCCTTACCCATGGCCGTTCATCTTATACACACAGCCGTTCATCCTATACCCATGGCCGTTCATCCTATACCCATGGCCGTTTATCCTTTACCCATGGCCATTCAATATTTACCCACGGCCGTTCATCCTAAACCCATGGCCGTTCATCATATACCCATGGCCGTTTATCCTTTACACACGGCCGTTTATCCTTAACCCATGGCCGTTTATCCTTACCCATGACCATTCAATATTTACCATGGCCGTTCATCCTATACCCGTGGCCGTTCATCCTATACCCGTGGCGTTCATCCTACCCATGGCCGTCCATCCTACACCCATGGCCGTTCATCCTATACCCATGGCCGTTCATCCTATACCCATGGCCGTTTATCCTTTACCCATGACCATTCAATATTTACCCATGGCCGTTCATCCTATACGCATGGCCGTTCATCCTATACCCATGGCCGTCCATCCTATACCCATGGCCGTTCATCCATACCCATGGCCATCCTATACCCATGGCCATTCATCCTATACCGTGGCCGTCCATCCTATACCCATGGCCGTTCATCCTATACCCATGGCCGTTCATCCTATACCCATGGCCGTTCACCGCATACCCATGGCCGTTCATCCTATACCCGTGGCCGTCCATCCTATACCCATGGCCGTTCATCCTATACCCATGGCCGTTCACCGCATACCCATGGCCGTCCATCCTATATCCGTGGTCGTTTATCCTTACCCATGACCATTCAATATTTACCCATGGCCGTTCATCCTATACTCATGGCCGTTCATCCTATACCCATGGCCGTTCACTGTATACCATGGCCGTTCACCGTATACCCATGGCCGTTCATCATATACCCACGGCCGTTCATCATATACCCACAGCCGTTCATCCTATACCCATGGCCGTTCATCATATACCCACGGCCGTTCATCTATACCCACGGCCGTTCATCCTAAACCCACGGCCGTTCATCAATACACACGGCCGTTCATCATATACCCACGGCCGTTCATCCTAAATCCATGGCCGTTCATTATACCACGGCCGTTCATCCCTAAACCCATGGCCGTTCATCCTATACCCATGGCCGTTCATCCTTTACCTAAGGCCGTTCATCCTATACACGACCGACCGTTCATCCTATACCCACGGCCGTTCATCCTATACCCACGGCCGTTCATCCTAAACCATGGCCGTTCATCATATACCACGGCCGTTCATCATATACCCACGGCCGTTCATCCTTACCCATGGCCGTTCATCTTATACACAGCCGTTCATCCTATACCCATGGCCGTTCCTATCCCCATGGCCGTTTATCCTTACCCATGACCATTCAATATTTACCCACGGCCGTTCATCCTATACGCATGGCCGTTCATCCTATACCCGTGGCCGTTCATCCTATACCCATGGCCGTCCATCCTATACCCATGGCCGTTCATCCTATGCCGTTCATCCATACCCGGGCCGTCCATCCTATACCCATGGCCGTTCACCGCATACCCATGGCCGTCCATCCTATATCCGTGGTCGTTTATCCTTTACCCATGACCATTCAATATTTACCCATGGCCGTTCATCCTATACTCATGGCCGTTCATCCATACCCATGGCCGTTCCTGTATACCCATGGCCGTTCGTATACCCATGTATACCTATACCCGTCGTCCATCCTATACCCATGGCCGTTCACCGTATACCCATGGCCGGCCCGTGGCCGTATACCCGTGGCCGTTCATCCTATACCCACCGTATACCGTATACCCATGGCGTTCACACCCGTGGCCGTTCATCCTATACCGTGGCCGTTCACATTACCCGTGGCCGTCCATCCTATACCCATGACCGTTCACCGTATACCCATGGCCGTTCATCTATACCCGTGGCCGTTCATCCTATATTCGCGGCCGTTCACCATACCCGTGGCCGTTCATCCTATACCCATGGCCGTTCATCCTATACCCGTGGCCGTTCATCCTATACCCGTGGCCGTTCATCCTATACCCGTGGCCGTTCATCCTATACCCGTGGCCGTTCATCCTATACCCGTGGCCGTTCACCGTATACTCATGGCCGTTCACCGTATACCCACGGCCATTCATCCTGGTTGGGGAGGTGTGGAAGATCGTACATACATTAACATCAGAACAGTAATTATATTTGACTTATCATAATACTGTAGTTAATCTTTTACCTACTTTGTTTCCACTGAATCATTCCTCAAGATTTACTCTACTTAGAAAATGGAACCGAAGATTTTGTCAGTTAAACAAAATGACGTCATCAATGTTTACACAACGTCACTGCTGGTCACCGATATCAAGAATGATGTATTTTTTCATAAGAGAATTTAGTCCAAGAAGAATGCGATTTTCATACCTTTTAAGTTACATTATTTAGCAAAAGTTTCCAAGTGATATGATTTTAACTTATCATTTCACACACACTACAGTAACGTTACAGCTACACATTATGTAAGTATAATATCAGTTCCCTAACGCTACTCTGATTAAACGTTATCTCTATATTTTGATAGCGACTAATGTAAACAAATAAACATGGCTGCCACAACTATCATCACTACCTGAAAATTTCCTTTTCATTGAGATACCACTTAATGGAGTAGAGTTCACGTGTGACCAGGTTGTAGTGGCAGATGAGCGTCTGGTTGCTGTAGCGTTTTGCATGTAGTGGTGCTTCCAGTGATGTCACGCTAATTGATGCCCCCACACCTGAAAAAAAAGATAATTTGTTATTCCATCTGACCTAAAATACTTATTATCAAACCAAACTTTCCCTATAACGACCATACATTTTATTTCTAATAGCTGTTGACTGCATGAAGCCAAGTACTTAAGCACGCACACAGTTCAAGAACGTGTCCATACTCGACAACATTTCTTAAGTGTAGTGAATTGTCTTCCTTAAAATAAATAAACAACATATAAAATCTTCATCTCAGTAGAAACTCCTTGAATATACCAAACCTTTTAAACTGCAAAGAAAACATTTAACCTCAAGAATGTAATGGGCGGTAACCAACGTCTACCTCCGCGCTACAGAAATTTTTTTTAAAACAACTTATTACAGAACCTACTAGAGGTGACAATATATTAGACCTAGCATTAACAAATAAAGAAAATATTATCAGAGATATCACAGTAGGGAAGAACTAGGTAACAGTGATCACAGAGAAATCAGGTTCACCCTAAATTGAGAAACGAAAAACAAGGACAATATGGTCAGGGTCTCAGACTTTCGATCGGCCAATTATGAGGGGTTAAGAAGGTACCTAGGTGAGGTCGCCTGGGAACAGTCAGGTCAGTCTCCGGTAGGGTCGGGTGAGGTCACAGGCGACACAACAATTGATCATGACTATAATATATTCACTAGTATACTAAGTAAAGCACAAGAATAAAATATACCATACAGAAAAAGTAGGTCAAATAAGAATGAGCCAAGGTGGATGACCAGAAAACTTAAACATGACATAGGAATAAAGAAAGGAATTTATAAGAAATTAAAGGGAAGGGAGGAGCAGCTCAGAAATAGGTATAATGAACTATCTAGGAATGTTAAGAAAAATTTAAGGAAAACAAAGAGAGACTATGAAATCAGGATAGCGAGAGAATCCAATGTGAATCCCAAGGGATTTTTCCAGGTATATAGAACAAAGGTCAAGGACAAAGTGGGACCTTTAAAGTCAGAGAGAGGGGAAGTGATCGATGATAGTGAGAAAATAAGCCAAGCATTAAACAGCTACTTCTTATCAGTTTTCACAAAAGAAATTCACGAGGAAATGCCAGAGATGCTATTCATCATGTCTCACACACCAAAACCATATTTTTTAATAGTATCCCCTAGACCATGGGTTAGTTAAGACGTCCTCACCCACCCCCTCCTGAAGGGAATGGGACACTACACAAAGTCCTCTGTTGTGACCCTGTCCTGTGGACTGTCAGTGACACGAGACTAGGTTTGCCAAACCAAGGTTGTTATCCCCGTGGAAAGATCACGTGTGGAAGCCTGGTTACGACAAGAGCAATCCAGGCTGGCCTAATGAACCCAAGTGGTTAATCAAGTCTACAGTGGCTGTCAGTGACACGAGACTGTGTGCTAACCCAAGGTTTTGTTATTCCCTGTGGAAAGATCATGTGTGAAAGGCTGGTTGCAACAAGAGTGACCCAGGCTGGCAGTAAATGTCTCACTTGAATAATTAAGTCTCTGTTAAGTCATACCCATATGTCCCCAGGTGAAATTTCACTCTTTTAGAAGATTAATGTTATTACAGCGTGAACGTGAGTGACTCATATATCCATGCAAATTGTGTATCACTGTATGGAAGCTTGCCAAGAAAATGCAAGTGCAATTATCTGCCCGCGTCTGTGATCCTATCTTATTATTACTAAAGGTAATGACTGATTGGTTATGACAATGTATAACCAATAACTTAGATTAATGTTGGTAATTAATAGAACTCATTTAATCATCATTTATCAAGTATAAATCACACGGAAGGTCGGGTGGTGGAGTGAACTTCTCCGTCGATACACCATAACCAGTGTGACGTCGATACACCATAACCTCTTGTAAGGTAACCAGTGTGACGTCGATACACCATAACCTCTTGCAAGGTAACCAGTGTGACGTCGATACACCATAACCTCTTGTAAGGTAACCAGTGTGACGTCGATACACCATAACCTCTTGTAAGGTAACCAGTGTGACGTCGGTACACCATAACCTCTTGTAAGGTAACCAGTGTGACGTCGATACACCATAACGTCTTGTAAAGTAACCAGTGTGACGTAGATACACCATAACCTCTTGTAAAGTAACCAGTGTGACGTAGATACACCATAACCTCTTGTAAAGTAACCAGTGTGGGTCGTCGATACACCATAACCTCTTGTAAGGTAACCAGTGTGACGTCGATACACCATAACCTCTTGCAAGGTAACCAGTGTGACGTCGATACACCATAACCTCTTGTAAGGTAACCAGTGTGACGTCGATACACCATAACCTCTTGTAAGGTAACCAGTGTGACGTCGGTACACCATAACCTCTTGTAAGGTAACCAGTGTGACGTCGATACACCATAACGTCTTGTAAAGTAACCAGTGTGACGTAGATACACCATAACCTCTTGTAAAGTAACCAGTGTGACGTAGATACACCATAACCTCTTGTAAAGTAACCAGTGTGAAGGTTGACAACTCTACGGTAACAAATATAAGAAATACACAATAATGTAATACAACTGTATAATAATATATACCTTCCAGCTGGTCTGTTAACTAAGCTGGCATGTTAACTAAGCTGTCATGTTCCCTAAGCAGATCTGTTCTCTAAGCTGGTCTGTTTCCTAAGCTGATCTGTTCTCTAAGCTGGTCTGTTCCCTAAGCTGGTCTTCCCTAAGCAGGTCTGTTCCCTAAGCTGGCCTTCCTTCAGTTGGCCTATTATCTAAGCTGGTCTGCTCTCTAGGCTGGTTTGTTCCCTAAGCTGGTCTTCCCTAAGCTGGCCTGTTCTTTAAGCTGGCCAGTTCTCTAAGCTGGTCTTTCCTAAGCTGGCCTGTTCCCTAAGCTGGTCTTCCCTAACCTGGTCTGTTTCCTAAGCTGGTCTGTTTCCTAAGCTGATCTGTTCCCTAAGCTGATCTGTTCCGTAAGCTGGTCTTCCCTAAGCTGGGCTGTTCCTAAGCTGGCCTGTTCCCTAAGCTGGCCTGTTCTCTAAGCTGGCCTGTTCCTAAGCTGGCCTGTTCCCTAAGCTGGTCTGTTCCTACGCTGGCCTGTTCCTAAGCTGGTCTGTCCCCTAAGCTGGTCTGTCCCCTAAGCTGGTCTATTCCCTAAGCTCGTCTATTCCCTAAGCTGGCCTGTTCCCTAAGCTGGTCTTCCCTAAGCTGGTCTGTCCTTAGCTGGTCTATCCCTAAGCTGGTCTATTCCCTAAGCTGGTCTGTTCCTTAAGCTGGTCTGTTAACTAAGCTGGTCTGTTCCCCAACCTCGGCTGTTCTCTGCTGGTCTGTTCCTAAGCTGGGCTGTTCCTTGCTGGTCTGTTCCCTAAGCTGGTCTGTTCCCTAAGCTGGTCTGTTCCCTAAGCTGGTCTGTTCCCTAAGCTGGTCTGTTCCCTAACCTCGGCTGTTCTCTAAGCTGGTCTGTTCCCTAAGCTGGTCTGTTAACTAAGCTGGTCTGTTCCCTAAGCTGGTCTTCCCTAACCTGGTCTTCCCTAAGCTGGTCTGTTTCCTAAACTGATCTGTTCCCAAGCTGATCTGTTCCCTAAGCTGATCTGTTCCTGCTGGTCTGTTCCTAGCTGATCTTCCCTAAGCTGGCCTGTTCCCTAAGCTGGTCTGTTCCCTAAGCTGGCCTGTTCCTAAGCTGGTCTTCCCTAAGCTGGTCTGTTCCCTAAGCTGGTCTGTTCCCTAAGCTGGTCTGTCCCTAAGCTGGTCTAATCCTAAGCTGGTCTATTCCTAAGCTCGTCTATTCCCTAAGCTGGCCTGTTCCCTAAGCTGGTCTTCCCTAAGCTGGTCTGTTCCCTAAGCTGGTCTGTCCCTAAGCTGGTCTATTCCCTAAGCTCGTCTATTCCCTAAGCTGACCTGTTCCCTAAGCTCTTCTTCCCTAAGCTGGTCTGTTCCCTAAGCTGGTCTATTCCCTAAGCTGGTCTGTTCCTGTTCCCTGAGCTGGTCTGTTCCCTAAGCTGGTCTGTTCCCTAAGCTGTTCTGTTCCCTATCCTCGGCTGTTCCCTAAGCTGGTCTATTCCCTGGTCTAAGCTCATTTCCTATGCTGGTCTTCCCTAAGCTGGTCTGTTCCCTAAGCTGGTCTGTCCCCTTAGCTGGTCTATTCCCTAAGCTGGTCTGTTCCCTAAGCTGGTCTTACCTAGCTGGTCTGTTCCTAAGCTGGTCTGTTCCCTAAGCTGTTCTGTTCCCTAAGCTGGTCTCTTCTCTAAGCTGGTCTGTTAACTAAGCTGGTCTGTTAACTAAGCTGGGCTGTTCCCTAAGCTGGTCTGTTCCTAACCTCGGCTGTTCTCTAAGCTGGTCTGTTAACTAAGCTGGTCTGTTCTAACCTCGCTGTTCTCTAAGCTGGTCTGTTCGCTGGTCTGTTAACTAAGCTGGTCTGTTCCCTAACCTCGGCTGTTCTCTAAGCTGGTCTGTTCCTAAGCTGGTCTGTGCTAAGCTGGTCTGTTCCCTAACCTCGGCTGTTCTCTAAGCTGGTCTGTTCCTAAGCTGGTCTGTTAACTAAGCTGGTCTGTTCCCTAAGCTGGTCTGTTCCCTAAGCTGGTCTGTTCCCTAAGCTGGTCTGTTCCCTAAGCTGGTCTGTTCCCTAACCTCGGCTGTTCTCTAAGCTGGTCTGTTCCCTAAGCTGGTCTGTTAACTAAGCTGGTCTGTTCCCTAAGATGGTCTCTTCCTCCTCTTCTTCTTCTTCTTCCTGTTGCTGCTCCTCCTCCTCTTCTTCCTCTTCCTCCTCCTCTTCTTACTCTTCCTCCTCTTCTTATTCCTCCTCCTCTTCTTCCTCTTCCTCCTCCTCTTCTTACTCTTCCTCCTCTTCTTATTCCTCCTCCTCTTCTTCCTCTTCCTCTTCTTATTCCTCCTCCCCTTCCCCCTCTAAATTATCATTATTATCCACATCTATCATATATATATATCCTTGCTTTATCACTATTCCTCTGCCATACTAATTTCTACCGCTATTTTCAATCCTTTCATCTTCTTTATATATCCTCTTCCTCTCTAATTACTTCCATTATTCCCTTCCATCACTTTC